TGGGACTGACCGACTTTCCCGGCTATCTAGTAAGGAACAGCCTTTGCAGACTCTCAACCCTTTCCAAGAGAAAACAGTTATTTTTAAATAATTTCTAATGTACTTGAAAGTTCAATATACTTACTCTTCCAGTTGCTAAGGTGCCAAGCAATCACAGTGTCTATAAGCGCGGGTGCTATTTCAATACCACTTAATTATTCAGTTAAACTGAAGAGGCCCATGAGTGGTACAGAGAACTGAAGTGCTCTATGAGGATGAACCTCCTGTTGCATATAATGCAAGAAAAAATCTCAAGACATGAAGCCTAAATAAATGACAACGCTAAGCTTGATCCTCATTTAAACATCCTTAGCTCCAGCAGAAAGACTGCTGAAAATGCAAATCCATCAGCTGCTGGCTGGGGTGAGCTGCTATTTTGAGTTTTTTGTTGTTGTTGTTGTTTTTTCAATTTGGCATCTCCTGCACAGGGAATATTTAAGACTGAGACCCAGGCCCTCTAAGCTGTAAGTTTTGCATTCATTCAGAACGTGCTTTTGAATTAACAAAATTAAATCATGAGTCACTCTTTTGTTTTGCACTGCTTAATTTCTAATTGCAAAAATGTCTCTGTTCCCAAAGTGCATGCTAGGGAGTGATTTTTGCTGAAGTATGCCCTATGTGGATGTACATGACAGAAAGGTCCACCTGCAGTCACTTTAGATCCTCTCACAGACTATAGCTGTAGAGCATTAACCAAACAGATTCTCCCCATTGATCTCTCTTCCGAGCACTCGGAAGTCACAAAACATGAAGTCCTTCCACAACAACAGAAGCAACCCTAGTCTGTCCTAGAAGACTGCCCAGCCTGTTTACTTCGTTTATTTGCATCTTGCTCTTCTCTGCAACAGCACAGCACTAAAAACATCCGTCTTGGAGAGGCTGATAAAATGTGACACCAAGTGATGTGCCAGATTTAGGAGCAGGTGATGAGGTAGAAATAAGAAGAGGCAGAAGAGCTGCCTGCACCCATTTGGACACCAATGAGGTACTGAAGGAGAGAGACCTGCTCAGAGGCAGCTCCTCTCCTGTCTGCTGATGGACCCCACACCAGAGCAAGGGCAGCTCCCAGCCAAAATCAAGAGATCTGCTAGAGCTTTTACTCCACACTGCACCTACATTTAAATTGCATGTCACAGTATTATGCAAAATGCCACATGCTTGATTTGGTTGTAACTATGGGGATCTTGTTGCTACAGCAAGTTTTACACAGGGCAACTTTATTTATGTACATGCAGCTATTTCTGTGCCTTTGCAGCACCAGAGAAGGAATAGATGCCAAGACTGACAGAAAGGATATGTGGGCACTGCAAATTGTAATTCTCGTTGTAATTCTCCACCAGCAAAACCCTTTGCATGTCTGAGTAGCACTCTCCTTATGTAGCTGCTTTGAATCTTGCAGCACCACAGAAACTACCACGTCGTGTTAGAGCCTAGTAGTTAGAAAGTACACCTGTTAAATTTTATTTTAAGTTCAGGAACGCACAGGTTTACGTCTTTCAGAAACGGATGTATTGAGCTGTTTTCATTATCTTAGTAATATGTTTAGTAAGAGCAAAATCTGAAGATTTTCTGCAGATTTTGCTGAATGTTGTGCAGAAAAAATTCTTCTTCTCCATCTCTCTTGATGGTACTCTTCCTACCATCCAAGCAGTTTCTTACTTGTTCCATAGGTGGCATAAGGAGAAGAGATGATAGGTATTTGGTACACGGGGGTCTCTCCACCCAGCTAATCCTGATGTAGAGAACTCTTGTGGTTTCTGACCAGCTGTTATTCATGTGATATTACCTTTTCTACATAGCAGACAAATCCTTTCCCAACTGCAGATATGGTACCAGCAGCACTTAGCAAGGATGTCTTCAAGAATTTCTTCCTTGTGTAGGAATATAATGATCTGGGCCACCGCTTTTGTTTCTCAGTTTAGAATGCACTTGCATTTTTTTTCTATCCCAAAATCAGAAGAAAAAAAAAAGCTTTTGATAGGATGATTTTAATTTCAAAACTGCAGAAAATAATGTGATCTGTCTACAAGCAAGATGAAAATAGTTAAGTCTGAAACTAAAAGATGAGAAGGAAATAAAAGGATGTGCCAGGACTCTTTCTTTGCAAATGTACAATTATGTTGAAGAAATTTATCTTTCAAATGCAGGTAATATAAATAGACTGGCAACTAAGTGTAGTTGTTCAATAGCTCCGGATTGTGTGATCTGTGTGTGCAGAGGGCCATGGAACCAGCATTTTGCCACAAACCTTGTTTTAGAGAAGGCTGTGTATGAGTTGTCTCATAGGTGCTACAGGCTAATGTTTGTGGAGTAACAGAAGCTGACCAGCTGCTCTCGTAGCAATTATAAAGCATTATAAACACTTCTAATGTTTGCAAACATGCAGGAGTTTTGAAAAGAAAGTGCCAGGCAACCTGAATTGTACAGCACTGGCAGCTCTCTTGATCATGCCTAAAAATGGTTTAGCTGTGGAATTAGCCACTGTGCTCCTGTAAAAACTCTAGCACTGAACTATTTCCTATTTTTCATGGTAAGAATATTTATTAAATAGAAACCTATCATATTGGAAACTATGGAATGTAACTCAATTCTTGTTTGTTTTTCCGAAAGGTCTATTCTTTGGTTTCTTCCTGTAATGTAACACCTGGCATTCAACTTTAATTTTGAGCTCCAAAACCAAACTTTCAATTCAGAAAAAACTTGTCTGAGTCATAAGCTGCCAGTGTTTGTATGCAACTCTCTGATAAATCCAGCATTTATGAGACTGATTTTTTTAAATGGTAGTATATTATGATTACATCTTTTGGCATTGTTTTTGGACTGTGCAGTTTGTTTGTTTGTTTTCCTCTGAAATCCAAATTATAGTGAAGATGTAAGTTTCCTACCACAAGAAAAAATACAAGCTGGATTGCAAGCAGTTTCTTCCATGCAACTGAAATACAACATAGCTCCAAATGCAGGATCTCCAAATTAAATGACACATGGACATAGTAGTTACTAGTAAAAGTGAAGTCTTGACCCTAACCGAATCGAGTAGCAACCTCCCATTGACCCAGTAGGCTCAGGGCACAAGCACCAAACACGAGTCTTGGCCGGCACAGGCTGAAACTTGCACCCAAGCAGAGCTGCACCTTGCTCTAGCACAGCACAGGCTTGTTCAGGGATACCAGCCTGCACGGTCTGCACCCGAAACAGCACCGAGATTTACTCAAAGGAAGGGCATTTAGGTTCCCAGTTTCTGCTGTACATCCATCCTTAGGAACGGCATCACCTTCTTCCATGAACTTTATTGTGGCTCCCCTTAGCATATACCAGAGCTAACAGGCTCGTAACACCCACACAAACATGGAACAGGAAATAAGATGATCAGGAAGGGTATCTGTAAAATAATAATTTATTAAGGATTGTGAGAGTATAGCAAGCTGTCTCCGTCAGATCCCTTCTGGATGGATTTCACCATGGGAAAGCAACGCTGGCTGGGAGCTGCCCAAGGCGTGATGCCTATTTTAAATGAGGAAAACAACCGAGAAGGAAGCAAATAATTTTGCAGCAGTAATTTTATAACCCAAATGCATGTATTCCCATACACAGCATATACATATAGGACGGGTATATATGGGGAGGGTGAAGGGGTCGCACGGCGCTGCCTCAGGCCGCTCCCGTTGGCGGCGGGCGGTTCTCACCGGGGCAGCGGAGGGTCT